ATAAGTAAAAGACTAAAGTTTCTAACATTTTTATTTTTCAGTGTTCTATATCCTATCACACAGGTTTGTCTATTTACAATTATTGATCCTTGGTCCAAAGTCTGTGCCTCCAGGCTCGTATTCAGGGTTTGGCAGAGGTTAGATCAGTTCTAGCATACGTCCTTATAGCTTGGTAGTCTATGATATTCATGGCTCAACACACTCATGCAGGCACAGCACATCATAATAGTGGTGTGAAATGAGTGAAAATAGAGTGAAATTTATGTGATGAAATACACACAAATTCACATCACAGTCACAGTCAGAACTCGTAAAAATACTATAGTGTAAAATTTGTATGACAAAGTATGCATAAATTCACATCACAGTCAATAGTCCAAACTTTATGTATTGTCATCTTATGGTCTTAAGAGCCCTTTTCGGGACACCAGGTCATAGTTAGCAAAACCGAGACGTTTGACAATCCTTTAATAGATAAACTGGAAGCAAGTTTTAATACGTTTCACCCAGCATATTTATATCGCACTTTGATGATTTATTCACTAATCTAAGTGTGTTAAATATTAAATGATCTCAAAGAATTTTACCATAGAGTAAGCACACATAGTGAAATCTACCATAAAATAAGATAAATACATTTAGAACCATTATTACATTCATGTTACCGGGCATGAACTCACCAACTCATATTAAAATGAGGTTCATATTTTAACAGTAGGATAGGAAAACTGGTAACTACAATGTCCAGTAATTGGTTCTGGTTATTTGTAACAATTGTATCTATATTGGATGAATCACTGCAATATACTAGTTCAACCTGACTGACCCCTCTCTATGAATTGCCTGATGACCATGTTACCTCTGATGATCACTCTTGCATACTTGATATTTCTACCATAGAACTTTCACATTCTAATTCGTCATTAGGTCTCTATGGAAATGCCCACCTCTATATTTACACCCTCAGGTATATAGCACAATATCAGCTTCCTTTGTTATTGAATCCTGTAATTTAGCATGGTCTCATTGCTTTTACATATATGAAATACAGAAATTATGTTCATACAATAATATAGATCTATAGTTTCCAGTTAATAATGTAAATGTTGTATCTCTATGTTTCAAATGTTATACAATTAATAATTTAATCATCTGTTAGTTCAAAAATGTGATTCAAATCAATGTAAATAAACTAGTGACAAAATAAGGCTCATTTTTCAACTTACATTTATTTAACCATTTATTTCAATATATACACTTACAATACATAACAGTAAAATAAACAACAAAATGGCTTATTTTATAATTTATATGTTTTTGAAAATGAGTAAAGAACAACAGAGCTTGTAAGTTACAATACCAATGAGGGATGACAGTGCATTATGTTGTATTGGTTTTCCAGGTTATTGTTTAACAAGAAACTCCTTCTCATATCGATTGCTCAACAAATAAAATCTTTATCCACCACTATCATGGTCTTCGTTTTATCACTTTAACTAAATCGATATGTCTCGATGTAAATGGCATCCCCACTATGATTAATTCCTGTAAACACAATGCATATCTATAAACTTACCCAAAACAATCCCAATAATTATAGCAACTTTCATTGCTCACTAAAATGCAATTGTTTGTAGCTACCCTTCACAATTACTTTCTCTTCTTTGCATAAAGTAGTTTTCATCTTTATTTTGTATTTTCATCAAAGAGTACATTCACTAAAAGAGTCTTATGTATACAAACAATTTATATACAATATTCCAAGTAAAGGTTGTTCCAGCCTGGAAGTATACAACATGGTCGTCAGGGCCTTTAGAGTTTGCATTTGCATCTATTTTTTTATTACAGTCTGAGGCTCTGGCTGGATATCTCATCATGATTGTAGAAAGTCAATGCTCCCTACTTCTACTTTGACCACCAAATAGACCCCCGACATGACATAATAATGCAATGACATAATAATTTGTTATTATCGTTGCTAAGTTAAACTACCAACTACGATTAGCAAGATGTGGGATTGTGTGTTGTGCCATGCTAATTTACCAAACACATATTAATCAGCACAAAGTACAATAACACATAATAGTTCAATGGATCTATGCTGATATTGGTGATAGGGGTTGAGCTCATCACAACCCAAACTTCCGATTAAAGAGGCATCGCATCCGACATTAATTTTAAGTCCTAAACTGAAGATTACAATTTGCTTATGTTCAGAGGCAAAGTGGATACCATCTAGCATCTTAGGAATGAGCTGGTCACAACTAAAAAGAAAACCCAGTCTTTGCACCACACATAAACTGTACACAATTCACCACTTGGGACAAGAAGCAAGCCTGCAATGATACTGTGGAGCAGGACTGAGTTTAAATAATGATTCCAAGTTCTCACGTAAGGTAAAATATAATTTCGGCACGAAATATTTGCCTGATTCCTCGGTAATACATGTTTAAAGACGCTAAAATAGTTGAGTAAAAAACATATTTTTTCAATTTTTCACAAATATTTAATCCAAACTAGAAAAAATCCAATATTTTACCAGAGGTCCCAACACTATGTGTTTCTTGCCATTTAAGGTGATTCCAGCAACACATTATATTTATAAATATTTCAAACCAACTGGTACAAATCTCACATGATACAGACATTAATATGGATTGAAAATATTTTTGGAGTTGGACATTTATATAGAAATGTATAAATAAGCACGATTTTTAAAAAAGTGGCTTAAAATCTCCCCATGTTATTCTCATAGGTAAAACACCAAAAACACCTCTTTATCCTATTCTATCTATTTGCTTGAGATACAGTAAATAAACATATTTAGGCACACTACATTGATTTCAACTTTTGATATAAAACAATAATACAGGGTAAAAATTTAAAAATCTAAAACTTATATGAATACCATTTGGTAAATAAATTAAATGGTCCCATTTGTATGACAATGTATTATAACATAATATCAGTGTTGGTAATGGTTACAAACTCCATGCATTACTGGTGTGACTTTATCGTTTTAAAATGCTTATTTCTCAAAAACTGCTTGAGATACGACAAATGGTTAAATTTAGGTACACTATGTTAGTTCCAACTTTTAAACAACAAAAAACAATAATACAACATAAAAATCAAATACTATTTTAACATTATTTTAAATGAGTACAAATAAATCAAACAGTTATCATGAAAATGTTATAAGTCTATACTTAATTCCATTATTTTAAAAGTCCATTATTAAATATTCTAAATTTGTGATTTAATCACCAGACATCCCTATAACTCATAAGAATTATATTATTTTATATGAGTACAAATAAATCAAACCATTTTCATTTGTATGCCAATGCATTGTAATATAATAATAGCATTAGTAAATAAAGGTCTGATTTATTGTTTAAAAATACTTATATCTAAAAAAAAGGCTTGATATACAACAAAACAGCTAAAATTCCAGCAACCAAAATAGCCTTCAACATAATAATACAGCATAAAAAGTTAAACAATTTAAAACCATTTACCAGTTTCTTTTGTATGTAAATGTGTTATAATATAATTTCAACAATAGCAATAGTTTCAAACTCTAGGTATTACCAGCACGGCACTGTCGGGGGCATGACGATGTTCAAAGTGATGCGCCTTCTATCACTTACATGTTTGTCTAGCTTCTAAAAAAAATATTTATAGCATAAAATTTATATATTAAAATTCTACATAAACTACTGTTTAATACAATATAAATATAATTTAATTTATACCACTGTATAATTATTAATTAAGGAAAATATAAAAAGGTTACTCAAAGCAAACATGAAAAAGTAAGTAAGCGAGGATTTTTTTTATTTTTCGGTCAGAGAAAAACTTTCAGTGGAAGAAGTATAGATGATTAGATGTTCCTCAATTTTTGTTTCTAACATTTTTTCATAAGACTTTTAGTTTGTCATCGCTGGGGATCAGAAGTAACCTATGGGTCGGGAGCGCGTCCGAGTTCACGTGCCGAGAGCTGGGTTTTTAAAAAAAGTGGTCAAAAAAAGCTCTTCATTTCCAGGCTTGTTTTTTCAGTATTAATAACATTTTTTAACCAAAAATGCCCCCATATAGCCTCTAAAACGCCAAAAATAGGGTAAAACCATCATATTTTACCTATTTTGGGTGTTTTTTCACCAAAAAAATTCAAAAGTCCTAGGTCCAAAAACGCCGAAAGTGGGGTCATATTCTGGTATTACCTCTACTGCAATTAAAGAGATAACTTCCTTTAAGGCTTCGCCCCCCTTAAGTTCAGTGTATTTCTAGAGCCTATTTTGAAAAAGATCCAGTTATACCATTGACTAGTCAAAGGTTATAATGACCAACTGTACTTGTAACGGTTTAAATGAGAATTGTAATTTAACAGATGAATCTTCAGTTGAATGTTTAACACAGTCATATTTTAAACAAGAGACTAAACTGTTTATGAAAATGTATTTAAAATACTGTACTACTTTTTGGCTACTTTTTTATAGTTGTAACCTGATTAAGGTAGGTAAAATCACTCATTATAGTGTAGTTCTAAAATCAACAGATGTATTGTAAATTATTAGTTCTATCATTTACTATTGGATACTGAAGTTGTATTAATAGTCAAAGGTTCTGTTCTATTTACCTATTAACTAAACCGTAACTGGACCCAGCTGTTCCTGATCATTGGGCTTTAAATAATGATCCTGGCTAATGAAACAGCTGATCATAGTCAGTAACAATGCTACACAGATCATCTCACATCATTCTACACTCATCCTTCACTCATATTTGGGTTAAAATACGCACCTAGGTGGCGTCCCCATCTCAATGATTAATAATTGATAATTGAAACAAACATAATCTTGAAAAGGTAGTTGACTGGATTCATTTTGATTCAGAAACAAGCTTGGTGCCATATTAAACTGCGCAATTTTCGCACGGGCTCCCTAGTTTGATTCTTCAGATCATATCCTGTTGTATCACATTTCCCTATGTTCCAGACAACCCATCGTACTTCACAGTGCCTGGGGGCGGCAAGTTCTCACTGCTGAGACGTCGCGGCCTGGGGGCGGGCACCGGTGGCGGCACCTCGCCTCCAGTGTCCCCTACCTCGGTGTTCCCCAGCCGTCGTCACTCTCGCACCCTCCTGCGGTCCGTCAGTGCACAGAGTGACGCCTCCCTTCTGGTCCTGGGCAACCCGAGACTCTGTGACCTCGCCCCCGCACACCGCCCCTCCGCCGCCTCCGCCGAGCACCTGCAGGTACGTGCTATATATAACTCATAAGATATTTTTTCACAAAATATTCTCTATGTAAGATTTGATAGTTTGTTTTTAGGGCATGGAGAAAGTTCTTCAACAAGTCCAATAATTGTATTCCTCCTAAGTATGTATGACATGTGATATATGCTCCACGAGTCGTCAAAAGTATTTCAGTTACTCTATTCATACCCAGATAACAGCAGCCTTTATAATACACTCCCAGTGTAAACCAAATGTAAAGACGAACTAAACATACCTGACAAGCGTTCTTTACAAAATTTGAATCATATAAACAAAAGAAATAGGAAGTCACTACTTTCAGCAAATGCTCAACAATAATTGTCTTATAGGAAGAGAATGTAGAGGTGTGCCAGACAGCTCTAAAGGTGCTCTAAAGGTTCTAAGACGATTTATTTCTGTAGGAAGATGAAGAAGATGTGTACCTAAGAGGAGCAGACAGCTACAAGTTCTATAATGGCTTTAAGACGATTTCATCCTGTAGAGGTGTTCCCAGTGGCAGTCAGATACAAGTGCTCTAAAGGTTCTAAGACGATTTTGTGTTGTAGGGTGATGAGGAAGATATTTTCCTTGTAGCAGTTAGATACACGTGTTCTAAAGGTTCTAAGACGATTTTGTTCTGTAGGGTGATGAAGAAGAGATGTTCCTAGTAGCAGTCAGATACAAATTCTCTGAAGGTTCTAAGATAATTTTGTCCTCTAGGGTGAAGAGAAAGAGATGTTCCTAGCAGCAGTCAGATACAAGTGCTCTAAAGGTTCTAGGAAGATTTCGTCCTATAGGAAGATGAGGAAGAGGTATACTTAGGAGAAGCATACAGCTATACATGCTTGAAGTTTCTTAGATGATTTCGTCCTGCAGGAAGAAAGGGCGAGTTTTTCCTAGTAGTAGACAGCTACAAGTTCTCTCAAGGTTCTAAGATGATTTTAATCTGTATGGAGACGAGGGACATGTTTTTAGGAGCAGATAGTCACAATTCCTCTAAAGGTTCTTACGTGTTTTCGCCCTGTAGTAAGAGGCGTACCTAGTAGCATGCAGCTACACGTTCTCTTAAGGGTTTTAAGATGATTTTCCCTTGCAGGTAGACGAGGGGGGTTTTCCTAGTAGTAGGCAGCTACAGTTGCCCTAAATATTATATTATTATTTTGTTCTGTAGGAAGACGAAGGAGAAGTTTTCCTAGTAGTAGGCAGCTACAATTTCTCTAAAGATTATAATATTATTTTGTTTTGCAGGAAGACGAAGGAGAAGTGTTCCTAACGACGGACGGCGACGCTCGCTACTACAACCTGTCCGCGGCCTCCAGGAGGGAGGGTCGACGTCGTCACAGCTTCGGGGAGTTCCTGCGACCCTCCTCGTCCACGACCCCCCAGGCGTCAGCGGCACCCGCGACGACCGAGGCGAAAAAGTGCCACTCCAGCAGGAAGCGGTGTGACAAGTGCTCAGATAAAGGTAGGACCAAACCTCTGGATTGCTTTTATAGTGCATGTATCGTTCAACTCTGACAAGTCTTGAAATGAAATGAAATGAAATGAAAAATGTCTTTATTTAAGAGGCGAAGTTAGGACTAGCAAGTCCTCTCTACCACTTAACCTCTTCTTCTATATGTTACATGAGGCACAACAATACTGTAGGTACTGCAGTGTGTTTATCCTTGAATACGCCGTACTAGGAGTTGGACTATGACGATACACACGTGATTTGACAACCCAATGGTACATGCATACATGATGCATTGTATACCTTATATTTAACTCTTTACATACTCCTTATAAAACGAGACGTCAAGACGTTACAATTCGCTTAACCATGGCTTGATGTTCCATTTGTTCTTAATCATGCTCAATTAAAAAAGAAAATGTTTAAAATAATATTATACTGGTAATTCTAGAGTAAGTAATAATAGGAATGGTAATTCTGAATTGAAAAATATCGTACACCTTCAACGAGATTGTAACGGTAACTACTGATTGAAAAATGTCGTTTTTTAATTGGATGCTTCTCCAATACAAACATGGTTCTCCTAATCAGGAACTACACCTCAATTTGGTCTCCACACTCTTCCAGACATGATCACTTCAAAGACATGTTTATTTGCGATTATCGAGATTTGAACCTAGAACTCCAAGATGGACGGAAGTCTCAGGCTCTAACCATTAGACCAGCTTCCACCTCTGCATAGAAAGTGACAGTCCAAATGTTTTCCGGGTTAAGCGAAATATGATGAAAATATTAGTTGTGACCTACTAAAGCCATTTACTTAACATTAGATATTGCATTTGTTGTCATTGCTCATTGGCGAATGAATGATCATCACTGACTTAAACACGTGCCGATTTCAGTTCTGATTGTGGGTTACAAACAATGTCTATAGAAATTTCTCAAGTATGAATATTATTGTAAATACGATTGACAAAATGAGCTAAGTATTTGAAGTTCGGGTTAGAGGGGTCGCCCAGGTGGTACAAGAATACTTGAATGCTGTCTTAAACTAGCCATCAAATTTAGCTTTAATATATATGCAAATTATTACAATTATAAAAAACCTTGCCATTCATACACAAACTTTGTCTATAAAGGATTCCCACATTTATTTCCCCTCAACCTCTTAGCGCCTTGATAGTGCATAGGAATCACGGATGTTTAACATGCAAGATGCAGCAATCGCATCATTTCTCCAACAATAGATCTCAAAGTTCCCAATCGCAATGTTTACATCTCGGTTCCCACTATTCTGAATCACTGGCCGCTGCGGATTTCTTCATAACCGCGCCACGCTATTTCCAAGTTGCCCCCGTTAAAGTAGTTCTTCCCTCCCACACTCACCGCTTCTGCTTAGCGTTACTCGCTATTGTTTCATCTGACTCATTCATTCACCGCAGCCATGTCTATTTCTGTCCCATCGTTTTCGTCCTAGACTCCGCCAGATGGCTGGATCATTTATCGTTCGCACGCTAAATCGCGCCATGACCGTTCTAGAATACATGAAACGTCTGTTGTCCGATCTCGGACGAGATGTTGTGGACGGTTGTTAACCTCAGTAGTGTGGCGAAGTGATATAAGCACCGTTGGTCTTTTGTTGTTCTTTAGACCGAAATCAATTCGAATGAGTGATGGAAGTTTCGATGAGATTAGAATAGACGAATATGCTTGAAAGCTGGGCTGAAAATACAAGTAATTGATGGACCAAAGTACAATGTCGGACTACCATTACTTTATTTTTTATTATTATCAATTTAGATGGGGACGCCACCTAAATGCGCTTTGAGAGAAGGATGAGTCTAGAATGGAGGGAGATGTTCTGTGTAGCTTTGTTACTGACTAAGATCAGCTGTTTTATCGGGATAATTTAGTTAGTTATAGCCGATCAGGGACAGCTTCGAACCATCAAAATTCTCAGGAATGAACCGGCGACCTTTTGATTGTTATGTGAACACCTTAACCATTCAGCTACCCAGCTGGTTACATAATCATACAAGGGCGGTCATTCTGGGGGTGGGGAGAGGGGTCACGGGGTGTCTGGGTCCCAAGTAAAGAAGGGTAGTCCGTGGGTACCCCGAAAAAATGAAATCATCGACGTGCTCGAATGAGCGATTTTTAAGTTATATTAAGACATACAAAATTAAATTGACCTAGGTTAACGTGTACAAGCTTCCCGGTTTATTTCAAGGTTCAAGAAATTTAAAAAGAATAAACTTGAATAATTTGAAGTTTTTGCATTATTGAGACTCGTGGAATTGATCAGTAACAGACGTCGCTAACCCGGCAGAGTTTAAGTCCAGACTGCAGGTGGTCAGTACAGTAGGTACGTCCGTTATCTTATCACCTCAAGTTGCGTTCCTGCTTATCATACTTCCCTTCTCCAGTACCATTAACAATAACGAACTAAAATCTTGTTTAGTTTTAACTCAGCGCCTTTGACTAATAGGATGATTTAGATCATAAAAATATATTCTTTAAGATGAATCACAATGTTACAAGTTTTTATGCTGGTTTACTAAATATTAGAAATGTTGCCACTTACCCATCGCCACAGAAAGAAATAGAGACTGATACATTACCAAACTAAGGTATTTTTGTTTAGAGTATTTACCTGGATTAATTTGGAATCCTATGTAGATGATCTTGATGAGTTGTTCTATGACAGTTTGCTCAGAAGACAAGGGAGTTGAAAGATGATTCTTGTTGCTTGTCTAGAAGAAAAAAAAAACACTCTTAAGTGAGGAGTATGTTTTATCAATTAGTATTAGAGCTGCTATTGCTCGGACTAGTCATCATTAAGAATACTATCTGTTTTTATCCCGTTTCACTTCATAAGTATTAATAACCCCAAATATTAATTGACTATTAAACTATTAACTAGTGATCGTCCTGTGGTCGAAATTCGACCAAAAATATAATGTACAGACTTCTCTATTTTCTCCCCACACTGTAAATAAAACATGTGATTGGAATTTCTTCCATTTCTTTTGATTTTCTGTTTACATTTTGTTGTTATTTCGTCACCATCATGGCAACCCATATGGTCCATGTTAATTTTTTGAAGTTTTCAAATTAATTTTTTGTGCTTATTTGTTAGCCTATATTAACTTTTAAAGGCATTCTGCACATCTACAGGAAAATATCTTTCCAACAGTATGCGTAGATTTTCCCTGCGATGCACACGAGCTGAGAAAAAAAACAAATAATCACATCTGATTTAAAAAAAGGTATTAAATTGAAAGAATAACAAAAATAAGTACAGCTGAAGTATTTTTAACATTAGGTACGGTATATGGAAAGTTCGCTTTAGAAAGGAATTATTATGAAATTAAAGGACAATTTATGAAATAATGGAGTTTTGCGCAAGGTTTCTCGTCATGACGAAGTATAAGGTTAATGGAGGTGTCATTCTTATTGCCAAGTTCAATTTTACTTGTCTTTAGGAATACAATACATGAGTTGATTTTGGTTTCACCCATTTACTTACTATTGATGGATTTTTAAAAAATTACACTACTATGAGATGTAAAAATACATTCCATAGATTTTTACTGATCGATTATCTGTTAAGTTTTAACTTTTTAACATTTTTATTTCTGCCTAGAAATGTCCTGAAACACCAAAGCTAACAAAATAAACATGGAAACCTACCTGTTGTAGGGTTGTGTCCAAAGTTTCCTTTTAATTCTTCTGACTCAATTCAGAGTGATCAGACCTTTATAAATCTGCAGCCATGTAGAAATAAATACTTTGTTAGCGGAGTGTGAACTGTGTGAGTCGCCTCGTCTGACACCTAGAACATTTCTGGTCCACACACAAGGAGTGAACAAACTACTATTCTGAGGTGTAATGGGTCTCGAAGTATGTTGACCAGGCTCGTAAGCGGGTAACTCCTTCACCCAACTTTGTGTCACGGTGACAGATGTCACAGGGAGGGATACAGGGAGGTTGCAAGGTGGTCTGAACACTACGGGTCAAGTCAAGCGAGTCACAAAATTAAATGTGAAGAAAATCAGAGAATATTCATAGAGTAGCTTCAGAAGTTATCAGGGATATGAAATGATTACATTAAAAACGTTTAGGCTTTGTCAGATGAAGTAACCACATGGGACAGGGCCGACAAGTCACAAGTTTCCAATGAGTCCTATAAAAGACTCTAAGAGGAAACCGGCAAAATGTCCTTTGGACCACCCTGGTGTAGTTTGTGTGTATGTCGAGTGTTTAGAAGATGTTTGAACAGTTGCTAAAAGGTAGCTAACATGGCTTGCAATGTACGTCTCCTCCCAAACAATCTGAAACACAAGATAAAAAGAAACATGAGAGTATTGGTTTTAATAAGATAACACTAGGCACTTATTTCAAAGTGTTATGCCAGTTCAATATGCTGGTGTTGTACCTAACTAGTATGATTAAGGATTTACAAATATTTGTAGGCTAAGTATTTCCTTACAAATAAGGAATTGTATAACGTAATTTCTGCCACTTGCATAAGCTAAATACTTGCTGTAAAAAAAGGTAAAGTTGTTGTGAAAAGGATAGTTTCAATGAAAACACGTGTTAAATTACAAATTTAAACGTGATAAATGTGCTTTTAATAGGTTGATTCGTAATATTTGACGTACCGGAACTGAAAAATGTGTGAGAAATATAGTTATTTACATTGTCTCTCTTTTTATTGCTCCTTCATAGGATTTCGTGCCATCGAACAACCAAAAGCAGTAATATTTTGTACTTCATTATTTTGTTTTATCTTCGATAAAATATAAGATTTAAAAAATATTTTCTTAAAATAGAGATCCTAGATTCAAATTTGACAACCATCAAATATATCCCGGTGTAATTTGAATAAATCTTGATGGGTGTAATCTTGTATTGTCAATTATTGAGATGGGGACGCCACCTATGTGCATATTTTACCCCAAATACAGTAGTTTAAAGTTAGTGTTCCTGTGTTTGCAGTTATTTAAATT